CACATACAAACACACACATATACTTATATACATATTATATATAGTATATATATATATATTATATATATATATATATATATTATATATATAATATAATATATATATTTATATAATATATATATATATCATACAACACCTGCACAACACCCACACACACAACACACATATATATACTATAATATAATATATATATATAATATAACTATAATATATATATATATAATATCATATATAGATACATAGATATATTATAGATATATATACTACATACATATTATATATTATATAATATATACATATATAATATTATATATATATATATAATATATATATATTATTATATGTTATTATGTATGTATATGTAATATAATGTACTATATTATATATATATAATAATATATATATATATATATATAATAAACTAATACTATATAATATACTGTGTGATGTGTGTATATATATATATATATATTATTACTATATATATATATATATTATATATATATATATACAAACACTTAATATATGTAACTATTATACTACTATATATATATATATATATATATACATACATATATAATAATATATTGATACATATTTATATATATATATATATATTATATACTATATATAATATATATATATAAAATATTATATATATCTATATATATATATATATATATATATAATATAATATCTATATATATATATAATATATATATATATTATATACATAATATATATATATAATATATATATATATATATTATATATATATATATACATATATATATATATATATATATATATAATATTTATTGGGAGGCATTAAAATAGATTATTACTTGAGATGGTAGTAACATCAACTTATTCTAGTCTCATGCATGATCTGAACTAAAATAATGACGACGATAATTCTGACGCATTTTGGTGACGTCCGAAATTACTTAACCCTTTTTAGCGTCGTAATTTCTCTACTTATAAAAGTTTATAATTAGTTTGGGGTCAAAACTAATAATCAGTAAGAAAGAAAAAAAATGGATCAAACTTCACCCAAAATTCTATCAAAGAAACGACCTCCTGTGGTCTAACAAATCGAAAAAAAAAATCAAGATATATAAGAAATCTTTAAAAATATATATATACATATTACATACATAAAACAATCTTAATAAATAAACCTTAGAAATAACCAATTCGCACATTAACAAGCTTTCAATTTTCATTCTATTGCACAAACCCTCACGAGCAGGGGTAAGTAGTTTCCACCTGATTGCATAGTGCACGGTCGTTGCCTAGATCATGCATGACTGACTGGGAATGCGTGAAGTAAATGTTGCAGTAGTCGGCAGCGTTATATTGTCCTTATAATCTTCTTTATCTGATTCTCTGTTCCTTTTTATAATTACTTTTCCGTCAAAGGTGTAACGGGAGAGTTGCCTGTTCCGTATTTTCATCTTTATAATTGGTCATTTGTGTGTTATTCTTCTTTATATACGTCTGTGAAGATTTTCCAAAGGAGGGATTTTTTTTTTTTTTTTTTTTTTTTTTTTTGTATATCAAAAGCAGCAATATTTCTATAGATAACGATATGTGTAGTAATCTAAACACCACTACTACCAAGAATGATGATGATAATAATAATGATAATAGTAATAGTGATGATAACGATACTGTCGATGATAATAATGATGATATTGAAGATAATAATAATAGTAATGATAAGGAGAATAATATTACTATTACAAAAACACTAATACTTTAAATAATGGTAATACAAATGACAATGATATTGATGATAATGATAAAAATAATGATGATAAAAATAACGATAAAAGTAATAATGATAATGATAATGCTGTTAATGATACAAATATTTATCATAACAATAATAATGAAGATGATAATAATGAGAGTAAAATGATAGCCATCATTATCGTTACAAAAATGAAGATCCCAATTATAATAATGACAGCAATGATAAGATGATGAACGTAATAACGATGATAATGTTAATAATAATGATTATTATGATACTAATTCGGCTGTAAATCATTGTTTGATTTTCTTAGCTTTTTCTTCTTTCAATATTTGTGTATTGTGTAGTATAATATATATATATATATATATATATATATATAATATATATAATATATATATATATATATATATAATTATTTATATGATGGCCATGAATGTTATTATTACCATCGTTATCATCCAGAGACAACTCATACTTCTCATACTACAACTACTCATGTTAAAAAAAAAATCTCATTATCATTATCCACTATTATCTTTTTTAATTATGATTTTTCTTATTAATATTATCATATTATCATTATCATTATCATGTCAATGTCATGTTATTATTATTGTTGTGTTTATTCTTATAGTTGTTGTCGTAATGGTTATAATTATCATTATATTCATCATTGTTTTTATCATTTCATAATCATTATCATCTTCATTATACTTATTGTCATCATTTTTTAAATCTGATTCCCCTTATCATTATTATATTACTATTTTTATGAATAGCAGTATAATTATTCATACCTTTATCATCAATTTTAATAATAATAATAATAATAATAGAAATGATAATGATTTTCTTATAACAATAATGGTTGTCGTATTAATACTGATAATCATTAAAATAAATACTACACTAATAGTTATGATTAAAAATAATGGTAATGAAGAAATTAGTAGCGATGAAGATACTGATAACAACAAGTATATTTATGATGATATCAGTAATAATAATGGTAGTAGTGATAATGATGATAATAATAGTGATAATAGTATAACAATGACAATGATAAAATAAATAATTATAACAGCAACAGCAAGAATACGAACAGCAATAACAATGAGGATAATATGGATAAAGGTAATGATAATAAGAATAGTAATATTAATTACAACGGAAATAGTAGTAATAATGATAAAAGTAATGATAATAGTATTAATGGTAATAATGATGCTAATAATAGTAATGATAATCTCAATAATGATAATGATTATGAAAACAATGATAATAAAGATAATGATAATAGAATCCATAATGATAGTAACAGTACTTATGAAAAGAAATATTGTATCAATGACATTAGTTATTTTCGTAATAATAAAAAGATCAAACCAATGATAATAAAAATAAAAATGATGATAAAAGTAATGATGTTAATAATAATAATAGAACAACAACACCAGTAATGATAATAAAGTAACATTTAAAAAGATAATAGTAATAGTAATAATAATAATAATAATAATAATAATGGTAGTGGTGTACTATCAAGTAATAATAATTATCATGGTACTAATGACGATGATGATAATGAAATTATGATCATCATATTTATTATTGTTATGATCACCATAACTACTACTACGTTTACCATCATTATGAATGTAGTTGGCATTACTAATATTTCTTTTATATTAATAATGATTACCATTACAAATGTATTATCATTTTCATCATTGTTATAATTATTATTATTATTAATATTCTCATTATTTTAGTATCAACATTATCATTTTTGTTATCATTATTATTGTTATTAATATTATTACTGTTGTTGCTTTTATAATTGTTGTGATATTGTTATCATCGTTATTCTCATAATCGTAATTATTATTTTTATTGTTATAATCTTTATAATTTTTATCTTATTTTTCATTAATGTTGTTACTTTTATTTTTCTATTTCATAATCATCATAATTGTTATTATTATTATAATTATTATTTTTTTCGTATTAACATTACTCTTTTAGCTATTATTTGTATCATTATTAATAATATTATTATAATGATGATCATTTTGTTATCATTATCATAATAATAATAATAATGATTATAAAGATGATAATGAATAATGATGATAAGGATATCGGTTATAATAGTAAAAATGATAGTTATTATCATTATCATTGTTATTATTATAATGATGATTATGATTATAATAATAATAATAAAAATAATAATAATAATAATAATAATAATAATAATAATAATTATTATTATTGCAATTACTATTTTTATTATTACTAATAATATTATATGTATTACTGAATTTTATTGTCGCTATCATTATTATTGGTTTGATTATTATCACTGTTTTTTGTTGTTGGTTGTGGTGTTTTTATTATGATCATTATCTACCTTTTTTATATTGTTATTATTTCCACATCGTTTTCCTGATTTTTCTTATAATTATTGTTATAATCATTGGTATTGCTGTTGTAATAATTGTCATTATTAGTATGATAATAACAATACTGACATAATAATAATGATGATAATAATAATAAGAAGAATGATAATCATTCTTATTTTTGTCATTATTATTATTGTTGTTATTGTTCTTATTGTTATCATTATCATTATGCTTATTATTGTTGTTTTTTGTTATAATAATCGTTATTACTACTGTTATCACTACTAAGTTTTCTATTACTGTTATTATTGCTATTATTATTACTGTTATTATTATTCACTTATTATCATTATTTTCATCATCATCATTATAATTGTCATTATCATTATTATCATTATTGATGTTAATACCTTCATTGTTATTGTTAATATTATCATTGTTATTATGATCATTATTATAATAAGCTTAATTGTTATTATTGTTATTATCATATTTCTATATTCATCAGAATCGTTGTTATTGTTATCCTGGTTATTATCATTAATATTATTGTGATTATTATTTGTTTTTATCAATATCATTATAAATATTATTAGCTGCATTAGTAGTCTTGTTCTAATTATTGTCATTGTTATCATTGCTGTTATAATTGTTATTATTATTATCCTTACTTATTAATCAATTTAGTATTATTTTTATTATTGTTTTTTCATTATCAAAACATTTTTATATAAGTTAATATAGGTATAATTGATATGATTATGACTGACATTATTGATATTATTTTCGTTATTGTTTTGATAAATATTATTATTATTATTGTTATTATC